CATTGTCCCATTTGACTTTGAACATTGAAGACATCGTAGCTAGTGCGTCCGCTAGCTGATTCTCCTCTCTTGGGAAGTGCTCAAAAGTTATCTCTTTAAAGTGGGGAAGCAAAGTCGACACATACTCCTTGTAAGGAATAAGATTTGGGTGTTTCGTATCCCACTCGCCTTTGATTTGATTGACCACGAGAGCGGAATCTTCGAAGACACTCAGAAATTTGATCCTTAAGTCAATTGCAGCTTGTAGACCCATGATACATGCCTCATATTCTGCCATTGCTGGAATTTCTTAGCTTCTACCTTATTGAACCAGTTTTGATAAGCAGTGTCGGAGGTGGGGCAAGATCGAAACGGTTTAAAATTACTTTTTACATAGTCTAATACAAAATGGTCCTTAGGAGGAACAGTTGGATTTTCCATGGTGTTTGAGCCAGAAGATTCTATTGCCTTAGGGGGGTCCATTTTGTTAAACAAGGGTTTGAAACTATAGCAAACTGGGAAAATTGTCCTGGTATCTTTTAAAATTTCAAAAACCGTAAGAGGGCCCATTAAAGCTAACCTCTTACCAGCAGCGGTGGTAGGAATGAATACCTGTGATGCATAAAGCATTTCTTTTTCCTTTGAGATCATCTGGGGAGCAAGAACGGATTGACCTTGGTGAGTAATAACTTTACTTTCCATGATAGTTCCTGCGGTCTTTCCTTTCTTCTTGGAAACCTTTTTTAGTTGGGATGAAGTAGAAGAAGACATTTTTGAAGAATGTTGAAAGCTTAGGGTTTTTTGGCGAGAGAAGAAGGATAAAAGATTCAGAATGTGGAAAGAAAAGAAAAAGACTAAGTTGATTGTTTTTATAATGTGGAAGTTTAAGCATCCACTGAATAAGATTGTGATACGTGGTACTTATGGGTTGGTGTGATGAAGAGGTGGCGTAAAGTTAACATGGGTAATAGGCGTGATTTAAAGATAATCATTATTTTGTAACTGCACCATACTGTGAAGTGGCTCCAGGCGGTTAAGGAATCCAAAAGTGTTATGATTGACGTGACTGGAGTCAAATGCATTAAATGTTACGATGATTCGAAGGTCGCATCAAAATCTTGTGTGGATGTTTAAAATAAGTATTTCTCAAAGAAATCGAAATACATATTTTAAAGGGGCATTTTGTTGGATGAAGATTTTGATAATATTATTAGAAGCCAAGTGAATTGAACGTTTCGATCGAAATGAAACAAAGCGTCATGTTTCGAAATAGCAGAAGCAGTGTTTCGAATAAGCATATCAAAGCTTGGAGCTTCGAGTGGCAATTATGGGAACATATCTAAAAGAAGTCTCGAAATGACAACAAGGCTGTGTCTGAGAAGTGCGTTCGAAGCGGAGAAGTACCAAAACATTTGAAATTCAAATGCAAGCGGGACATTCGAAGTTTGAAATTTATGTGCTGGAGCATTTGGAGACACGTGGAAACAAGAGAGAGGCATTGTTCTGCATGTTCTGAACGTGGCATAATCTTATAGCAAGACCGTTATGGTCGAAGTAGTATAAATAGAAGTCTTAGTATTAGGATTTCGTGTGTCATATCTATTGTACTAAATACTCAGTAAACATTCAAATTACCACATGGCAAGGGAAACGAATGCAAGAGCAATGTACGTATGATAGCACCACATGTTTATGATTTAATGAAAACCCTTTATCATTTCCAGAACTTTCCTTTATCTTTCTGCCAAATACCATTTACAAGTTTTCGCATTTAAAGTCTTTTTATTCGAAATCTTTTCATTGAAGCTTTACATTTTAATGCTTTCTTTACATTTCAAACACTTTACATTTCAGAAAACTGTCATACTTTTCATGCCTTTATCTTCAAGTTTTATCTTTCGAACGCCTATTTTTACTTAAAGTCATTTTACAGATTTCTTGCATTAAACGCTTTCTTCATATTTCGAATCTTTTACATTCCAGAGCATCTTTTACATTAACTGTTTTTATAATTCGAAGCCATTTACTTGCCTTTTATGCAATTTTACATGTCTTTACAATTAACATTTATTCATGCAATTTAGTTTCGCGCACATATATTTTGATTACACCTTTAGATCTTTAAGAGAGAAATCGAAATAAGTCAAACACCTACACAACACTCTAAATACCAACCATGAATATATGTTCGATCATGAGAGTTACCCTAATGACCAATAAGTCCTAGGATCAATCTAGTCGATCCTGCGAGTTACCAGAGAAATTGAATAACAGTCAGTAAGTTTATTCGATAGTTTGGAAGACTAGCGGTTGTTTACCAGAAATCACTGGAAACAATATGAAGATAATAATGCATGCATCACTCAATTGAAAGATGGTTACATTAAAGAAGACCAGACAAAACACATTCTTCAAAGTTCTTTTTTACTCATGATCTTCAAAAGAGTGGTGATATAAGCATCCAACAAATTTTTTCATGTGATAATCTTGAGGACTTTTTCACAAATTCACTCCCAAGTATAATTTGTAATCAACTAGTACAAAATATTGGTCTTCATCAGAAAAATGATCGTTTAGCTGGGGGGGGGGGGGGGGGGGGGGGGAATGAAAGGATATTATACTTTTTTTCTTTCACTAGATTATTTCCCACTTGATTTTTTCTAGTAAAATTTTAACGAGGCATATCCTCAATGGACATCCAAGGAGGAGTATTATGAATAAAGATAAAAAATAAATGTACATCCTTATTCTTCTTTTTCATCTTCATATTCCCTATTAATGGTTGTAATTTTTCATATTCCTTATGTCCTATAAATAAGATCCATATTGCAATGTAATAGACTTTGAAAAAAAAATAATACAATATTATTTTCTCTCTTTGATCTCTATTGTTTAATTTAGTTTCATAACACATATATTAATATTTGTTATACTTTTATGTATGCCTTTTTAAATCATTTAAATATTTACAAAATAAATTTGTCAATAGAATTCAGTAGGTTTGTCTTTCTTTAAACTTCAATATTCTTTAATTCATCGAGGCTATATATATATATATATATATATATATATATATATATATATATATATATATATATATATATATATATATATATATATATATATATATATATATATATATATATATATATATATATATATATATATATATATATATATATATGTGTGTGTGTGTGTGTGTGTGTGTGTGTGTGTGTGTGTGTGTGTGTGTGTGTGTGTGTGTGTGTGTGTGTGTGGATGTATTAAGTAGGAGAATTTTAAAATAAGAGATGAGAGGATTAAATGTTAACTATTGGATCACATAGACGGTTTTGATGAATATTTATTGTCTATATTTGTACGTGATTTCATTATGACCATCTATCTAATTCAAGGATTTGGATCCTCTCGTGCCATTTCTCTCATGTTTCCATCATACCTTATTATCAACCATTGAATATATTACTATTTCTCTTTACCATGCCCTATTATCAACCATTGGATCTATCATTCCTTATATATATTAAGAAAAATAATATTAAAGGTCATTTAAGTTACTTTTATGTAATAGATTGGTCTTTTACATTATCAAATGTGTGCATCATTGTCTTTTTGTTAACATAATGAATGTGCTAATTATGAATGTGATTATTTTGAGTGGTGTGAAAATGATGAAGTGCAATAAGAAATACAAGAGTCATAAATTTCTAAATGTTCAAATGCGAGAAAAAGAATGTAGAAATCAACCTAAAGGATCAAATTGTTATAAAAAAATTAAAGGACCAACAAATTACAAAAAAACAACTTAAAGGACCACTTATATAATTTTGTCTACATAGTAATTGTGTACCCGTGTAATGCACGAAAAATAAATTATTTCAATGACAAATTAATATAAAATAAATATAGTATATAAAAAATTATTAAATTAGCTCTTTAAATTATTTTTGACATACTATAGTAAATAACCGAATATAGTAGAAAATAAACATGGTTATTATTTTCAAATGATAGAGAATAAAAATTTGATATTTATATTGACCTTGACTCTTATTGATAATCGTCACAATTGAGATAACAATAAGAAATTATTTAAGTTGAAATGTAAATGGAATTCTAGGATCAGGTGGAGTCAATAACGATCCCACGATATAAACGTTTTGTCTCAAGCACATAATTTTTCATTTGTATACATATAAGCTGAGTACAAATACATAAGGCCTGGATGTTTATTAGTATTTCTCAATAACATAACCCGAACATCAATTTGAGTCTTAACTCGTCGGTTGATTGACCTAAAGAATTAATAGTGATGAGAAATTCAAAAGTATGAATATCTATCGGATTATTATCGTTTCCACCAAGTGCATACGAACTTAAATATCTAGTTTCTTCTACTAGAATCAAAATCATAATGTAATTATTTGATGTATCAACAATACTATTTGTAGGTGCTAAAATTGTCTTAAAAAGGAAGAATTATTTATACTCTCCAAAAGTGATGAATATGATGTATAAACAATTCAAGCAATAGGGTCATTTGTATTCTTGATCAGCAAGTCATCTGATATTTCGTTTTAGTTTCTCCAACATTATTTGTTCATATCTCCAACTTTTAAAATCCATTTTAAGAACATTTTCACTTTATTGACAATAGAGCACGAAGGTTTAGATTGAAACATCGTATTTTTGTCAATGTTAATATTCGACAAAATTGTCAGAGGTATGATGAATTAATATTAGCATGTCAACATATTGTGTCGTGCTTTTTAGAATGACATGGAGTATTTTCCTAAAATCATTTCTCAATACAACAACTTTTTCTCCAAAAGGAAGATTCAAACTTCTTGAATTATAAACTCTAAGTACATCTCTAAAATATTTATCAACAACTTCAAAGAAATGATTATGAATCATAGAAGTTTCGTCCTAAATAATAAATCCATTGTTTTTGTTCATGCTACTCAATATAAATCCATTGTTTTTATTCTTCTTTCTCATCTAGGGTTTATTCTGTTTCCATGGCCACCACAGTTAGAACTTCGTTCTTCACTCCCACTACCACCACCTCCACACGCTCTCCCTCTTCACAATACCAACATCTCCTCCGCCTCCACTTCCCTCATTCCTCTAAATGAATTAACTTCATCGTCTCTATTTCCTGCTCCTCTCAATATCAATCTCAACCCCAATCCCAACCCCAACTCGAACCCCTTCGCCAGCGTCCTCCTTACATCCTCAACCATATCTCTGACCCCTCATATGTTCGCATCTTCGACACCACTCTCTGTGACAGCGAACAGTCCTTGAGAGCCTCCATAATTTCCAAGGAAAACTCGACATTGTTCGCCATCTTGCCAAACTTTGCATAGACATTATCGAGGTTGGATTTCTCGTCGCCTCTATAGACGACTTCGAAGTCATTAAAATGATTACCACTGAAGTCATAAACCCTGTCGCCGAAAACAGTTATGTCTTCGTCATTTGTGGTCTCTCCAGATGTAATGAGAAGGATATTCAAAGGGCTTGAGATGCAGTTAAACATGCAAAGAGATCGAGGATTCACACTTTCATTATTACTAGCTCCATTCATATGGAGTATAAACTTAAAATGTCCATAGAACAGGTCATTGAAAAAGCTCAAACTATGGTTGCGTTCATCCATAGGTTAGATTGCGAAGATGTTGAGTTCAGTCCCGAAGATGCGGGAAGGTGTTCATTCATTTAATTTGAACTTAGTGTTTCATTGTCATTGTAACTATTGTTCTATTGTTGTTGTTGTTTATAATATGTATGATGATAACATGTCGGATAGGGAATTTCTATATCAAATTCTTGGAGGTTATTAAGGCAAGGTCTACTACACTTAACATACCTGATAGTGTTGGAATAACCATTCCGAGTGAATTCGGGAAATTGATTGCTGATATAAAAGTTAATACACCTGGAGTTGAGAATGTTACTATTTCCACTCATTGTCAGAATGATCTTGGACTTTCCACTACTAACACCATTGAGTTGGGTGTGTTCCTATTCTTGTCTTTTTAGTCTTCATGTATACTCTCCATTTGTAGTTGGATTCTGAATTTTTGTATGCTCTTGATTGTGGCTGCTTTCAGGGTGCACGAGCAAATGCTAGGCAGTTGGAAGTCACCACTAATGGCATTGGTGACTACTAATGTTCGGGTCAACATCGTAATGTCAGACAAGGTTTTGGTATAAAAGGAATTATCTAGAATGAAGAATGAGTTGAATAGATTAAATATCATTGTACTAAATGAAAGGGAATTTCAGATTAAACAGGTGAGGAAAACTCAATAAATTGGGTTTTTGAGGCTACTATAATATTTGCGTTGCATTGAATATTATGATAATACTTTAAACAATTTTATAATTTTGGTTCACTTAAAAAGAAGCATATATGAACTTGGTTAAAAATTATTAACTAACTGTTACGAATGAATATAATCAACCTGTATTCATTAAGATGCTCATTTTCCTTCAAACTAGTGAAGAACTTCGAGGTTAGTAAGTTTCATATCTAAATAAGGATGAGGAATTTGTTTATTCTCCATTTTCATAAAATGTCCTTATTCCTTTTTTAAATTATTGTTTCCTTTTTATAGTCTGTTCAAAGACTTCGATTTTGTGAACATCATAATAAGGCCCTTAAGAGGGCTATATATATATTAGAAACCCCATTAATAGTTAGATAAGATCCTTACCTTGTATGACTTAGAGCTACACTCAAATTCACTATCACTAAGCATATTTGTTAAATTGTTAATACCTAGACAATCAAATGAAGAAATATTTGTTTACTTGGTGGAAGTAAAGTATGGATGAGGCTAGTGATTTATAAACTTTGACGAGATTATTTCACAATCAACCAGATAACATAATTACCAAAATAAAATATATTATATGAAATTTAGTTGTTTCTTTTTTCTGTTGAAATTTTTTATTCAGTTAATCATTTTCCTCCTTAATTTGAATATTTGCAAATAGATAAGGAAATTAAAGACTTGACTCGGCAATGTGATCTCTTTCAAAATTTTCTCAAGTCAGTTGGGAAGATGGGGTTTTAAGAGTAGATCAAGATTGGGCCTCAGAATTGTCAGGCGTTGCTAATGATCCTAGTCCAGTTAGATGTATCAATTTTGGGCATTTTAACATAACAACATCCATTTCGTCTATTTCTAATGAACTCCTTTTCGAGCAATATGAGATTTTGATATTGTCTACTAAAACTACAACTCATCTACTTGTGGATTTCATATTAGTAATTCAAGTGTGAGAAATGACTTATAAATAGTTGGATATTTTTATATGTTTTATTGTTGTAGTAGTCCACCGTGTAAACTTCCTTATAATTTTGTACACTTGTGTGTATCCTAGATTATTACTTTTGTAAATCAATTGTTCATTTTGAAGAATATATATGTGCATCCTAACTATTTGGTGTAATGAAATTAGGTTGATTAGAGAAATATGAAAATAGCCACATAAATATGGTATGTGTGATGTTGAAAAACTATAAAAATAGCGACCTAAGTATGGTCTGTGTGATATTGGAAAAATATGAAAAATTAGGCACAAAAAAAATTACACGGAATCCATTAAAAAATAGTCAAATTTTTAAAGAAAAAAGCAAACATTTTACATCGGACCATAAAGGTAACCGATGTTAAAACGCATCTTTTATATCGGGCCAATAAGGTAACCGATGTAAAATATTGTGTTTATTTTTGTTAAAATAAGTTGTATTTTTTTCACACCAGACTTAACAGGTAACCAATGTGGTAGGTGTGTTTTTCATATCAGATTGTTGTCCGATGTAACATCTCTTTGATTTTCTAAATCACTTTACTTTACATCGGACTTAGGCTCGATGTAAAATGTGTTTTTCACCCGATATAAAAAGTCTTTTCTGCATTAGTGTCATAATTGTATCATATAATACTCATTGTTCTTCATTCATTTTAGAAGTCAATTTTTGATGCTATAAACGTATACTTTGATACAAAAATAAAATTTAAAATAAAAATAAATAAAAATTGAAAAATAAAAATAAATCACAAAAAAAAAAAAAAAAATAATAATAATAATAAACAGACCCGCACAAAAAAATTACACATATAATATAAATAAAAGATTATACAAATTAGTTTAACATTAATTTATTATTATATTTTTTATTAATTATTTAATTATTAAGAAATAATTAAGAGAGATGAAGTTTTTGAATGGAAGTTATTAAAAAAACTAATAGAATTATAATTTAATATTATTATTATTTTTAATGTAATTTAAGTCCTTTATTTTAAACCAATCAATTTAAAATGAATATAAAAAGTTAAAGGGAGCAAAATAGTAAAAATAAAATGAATATAAAATGTTAGTTGACAAAAATTAGTTTTTATTCAATAAGTAAAAAATATAAAATTATAAAATTATAAAAAGTTATTTGAGAAAAATATTTTTTACTAAATAACTAAAACTAGATAGTTAAAAAAGAAGTTATTGGGAGAATTTAATTAAAAAAATTGCTATGGTTAGTGGGAAAAAATTTAGGAATGGAGTTTTTGAATAGAAATTTAGTAGAAAAACGGATAGGATTGTAATTTAATATGCTGATTATTTTTTTAATTTAACTTAAGTTACCTTTATTTTAAACCAAACAAATTAAAATGAAAATAAAAAGTTAAAGGTTTCACTCAAGATTACAGTTAAAATAATATATCCATTTAATTTAATTAATGTAGAAATTGTTCTTGCGATAATTTTTTTACCAATTACACCATTTTCATACACAGAAAAGCCCGATAAATTTTTTACCAATTACACCGTTCATTCACGCTACTCACAATGGTTTCATATATAGTCTTTATTTTTTTACTAAAAATAAATAATATTCATTCATTCAAATTGATAGAGTATATTATTGTAATACAAATTCAAAATCGTCAAAAATAAAAAGGATGAATTTGCGAACAAACTCACATCATCCATGTTAATAGCATAAAATAAAAAATTGCATAAGCATATAAATATTATTGTATTGAGATGTCCAAAATATTCATGCTCCGAGATCTGTAGCATTAACGGCATCTGTTGTACCCCAAAATTTTCCTTCCCATTTTACTCAACAAATATTCATTGAGGTCCTCAACTTGCTCAATGATGCCCAAGAGCTGACCAGACAAACTCTCTCATAAAGCCATGAATCTTCGATTAGGGTTTCCATTTTCATCAAGATAGGTGAGCTCCAAATGCCTCATATATTCTCCATAGTCCTAATATGTTCTCAAGACCATCCATGTCAATTTTCATGCCTTGCACAAGAAGTTTGCTCAGTCAACTGCTCAGATGCTTGAAAATCAACTATATTAGGTCAAAAGTCAATTGTGGCCCCCATATAGTCAAACTTCAAGATTTTTGGTCAACATAAACATTTTTAAGTGATATCTATAATTTGATTAAGGGTTGATCATGATTTCCCAAGGAATGCTCCTAATTCATCAAAACTCAAAAGTTGCTAAATTAGGGTTTCTTAGGAAAAGTCAATCAAACTTTGACCAAACATAACTTTCTCATAATTTATCATAAATTTTCCATCCAAGACTCATTTTGAATAGAATTTAATTCCCTACAACTCATCTTCATCCCTCAAGCTCAAGAAATGCACTCATTAAAAGATATGAATTCAGACATTATAGGTCATTCCAAAAAGTCAACAAAAAGACCTTTTGGGTCAAAGCTTATTACATGAACATGGAAGATCCAATTGAGATGAAACTAAAAGGGTTGTTTAGGGTACATCCTAAGCTTTCTAAAAAGTCCAAGAACATCCTCTTAGGATCAAAATTGAAGGAGATATGCATTATCAAAGTTGGCCATTTTTAGAGAATTGTCAAAAGTCAACAATGCCCAAAATTGCATTTTTTTGGCAAATGGGCCTAACTTTTTATGCTTGCATCTTACTTCTATAAATGCCCACGACCTAAACACCCTTCCATATTTATTTTCTGAGTGTTTAAGAAATATGACATGTTCAGAACTTCTGATCAGATTTTCACCATGATGCAAGCTGATTCTGGAAGAACTTCTGATACAATAGTTATATATTTCAATGAGATCTAAAATATTGCAGAACAAAACTTCTCCTAGAAATTCTTGGATTTCAAGTTATAACTCCTCAAAGACACGTCCATGAAACTAAAGCACTCAGCAAATTTTGGACACTTTCAAAACAGATTTTGGTCAGAACTTCTGGGCCAGTTTTCACAAAGGTTCAGTCAGAGTTTGCAAGGGTAATTCAATGAAGGTTACAAAGCATGCTGCAAGCTTCCTGGAAAGTCTGAGAGCTCCTTCATAACATGTTGGAGCAAAGAGATACAAAGATCAGAAGTTAGATGTCTATTCTAAGTCACGTTGAAGCTGAACTTCTGATCCAGAACTAAGTAATGATGCAGAATATCACGTTGCAGGATTTCTGGTTTGATCAATCTTATCATCATTTAATGCTCA